GTGGCTCGGAGAGGTGGTCCTAGGAGAAAGATGGAGAAGCAGGGTGAGCACCTCGCCCCACTCACCCCCCAGGAGCACGCAGGGCACTCCGCTGCCCTGCGCGAGTGCACGTGAGGAAGGGGCTGCTGTTTTTATCGCTTCCCCCAGTCCTCCCAATGTGCCTGAATTCTGGGAACACCAGCTCCCGGACAGCTAAGTTTGGTGAGCTGGTTTTGCCCTTCTGCAGGCAGTAGGAGCTGTGAGAAAATTGCTCCTCTGATAACCAGGCTGGTTCTTTCTCAGTCTGGGGACCCAGAAGTCAGATGCACCAAACTTTAGGGCCCTTAGCAGAATTTGAGCTTTCATGCCCCTTTTTTTTCCCGCTTTCATGACGCACTGCAAGTTTCCTATCTATCAGCTGGCCTTGACTCCCTAAAGGTGCATTTCCAGCTTCTTTTTAAGGTCAGAAAACCACACACGTGGTTCCCAGTTACTCAAGCGTGCCCCAGTTCAGTCATGTTCTGATCAGGTTTAAAGGACTCGACAGCTTTTGGAGACCGTCCTATAAGTGACGAGGCCTTTCATTCAGCTTTTGGTACGTCTAGACCAGGTCTTGCCTTAGCTTGAGCAACATGATTGCCAGCAGAGTGGGGTTAATGAAGCTGCTCTGAGTGCTTGTCTAGTCACATCTCAGAGATTCCTTTATAAACACCTTTTTTTTTTTTTTTTAGTTTAATGAGTTAGTCAGCTAGCTGATGTGAAAACTGCTTCAGCATAAACCCATACTCTCCACTGGCTTTAGGTTTTAAATACCTTTGAACTAAGCTAAATTATTCTTCTTTGCCTCTGAGGCCAGAGAATAGGATTACCTGCCCATATATGAATAGTCCCATTGAACCAGTCAGATCCCAGGCTGGTGAGTATACATCAACACCACACACCATCATCTACTGATGTTTTGATTGCTTATATGCCGGGAACACTCACTCCCTGAACTGGTATTTGAGAAGGTATAGACAGCTCCTAAGACATAAATGCACATGACGCTGTGTGGGACAATAGGCAGATTGTCTATAGACTCCCAGGACCACATAGCAACATAGAACATTACTGCAGTGGCTGGGAATAGGACGGCAATTGGGTTTCGGTGACATATTTATCCCATCTTGCGCATGTGGAAGGGCGAGCCCTTCTCAAAAAGCCATTCCCCTGAATGTGCATGGGCATTTCAAGGCTTTATGAACATGGCTTCCTCTGCCCTTCTCCCAGCATGGCTCCAGTTACAGTTTTCAGACCCTAGTTCTGCCAGTGACGTACCTCTGAAGTCTCCAGGGACTGGATCTCTCTGGGTAACTCTACAGCATGCCTGTTGAAGTAGTCCATGGTAATAGCATTATTCCAGTAGCTCAGGTTGTTTTCTGGGTTAGATGTCTTTTTCTTCCTCCTCATGCAGCAGACTGTCAGCAGAACCGCTGTCAATAGAAACATGTCGAAAATGGGGTTATTTCCTTTCAGTAAGGACTCATCAGTACCACAGATTTGGTTTTTACGTTACGTCAGGAGAGGGCTGGAGACTTCATTCGTACAATTCGCTCTCGGTCAGATCTAGCTCTCTCCTAACAACCCCCACACAATCACATCAGAATATGGGCCAAGCAGACGAGGCTTTGCGCTTGGCAGAATATGCGGTTTTTACTTTCTTTTTCTATTTAAAATCCCCAAGGTGTGGCTGCCTGGCTAATGAAAAGCTTCAGTGGTGTAAGTGGTGGTATTTTAATCCCTAAGCGGGGATTCATGGACCCTGTAGGACAGGGGGCGCTCTCCAGGGGCTGCGGAGGATGCCTCTGCACAGGTCTTTTCTGCTTCTAGCGTGTTCAGACGCTGCAGCGATGAGCCCATCAGCAAATGGGCCGTGAGAGACACCCATCCTAGCTCAAATACCAAATTCATAAGTGCACGTAGGTGCACGTCTTCCATTCCAAAAGCTTCTGCCCTGAAGTGCCACGGATCCCTGCCTCTGTCACCTGCCATTCGTAACTCGCGTTTTGGGTACTTCATGATGGCGCCGCACAACGTCAGTGACCAGCAAGGGGAACAGATGGGCTCCTGAGCGGGAGGAGGCAGTGGTGAGGTGGCCTGGAGGTCTCCTCGGGTCCCTGTCTCATGTAGCTTATGCTTCCAGGGTAGCATTAACCCCAGAGCTGGGGTTTTCCTGCCTGTCTCCATCAGCTGTATCAGGGTGTGGGATCCGCTGATAAGGGTAATCTGCTCCCCACACCTGCCTGGGCATTGGCGGTGCCTGAGCCTGGCTTTTTCTCTTATCTGCAGAGCACACTTAAGCTTCTGCAATCTGAAATAGGTGAGCTTAGAGCGGAGCAGTTGGGCAAGACGAGGTGACCAACAAGTGAAACAAGTGAATTGTCTGCCTGGTCTCCAGACCCTCGACCGCTGAGATGCCACGATAACGCTCCCTCAGCCAAACACAAAGCTGGCTGAGTGTTATTTTCTGGAATTGCTTTCGGTTTGGTCATCTGTGTCACAATTCAGACGGGTAATCTCGGCAATTTTACGAAAGTTGGGCAAACCCACTGTAACGAACTCACTGCTCCCACCAGTCCTTGCTCAGGCACAAGCTGAGGCGCGTACAAGGGTCTGTTCAGAGGAGTAATGCATAAGCTCCCTCTGCTTATCTTACACCCGTGGAATTAATTGACCAGTTGTGCTTGTAACCTACCTAATTTATACCGACAGACAGGTAGCTGGACATGTACTTACTTTGATTTGTACCTGTGACATAGGGAATGCCCTGCTGTAAATTCACTCCATTATTTCTAAAACCCTCTTGGTAGAAAAGGAGAAAATATTAATGAAGCAGAAAAATATATTATTTTCTCAGCTACAGTCAAAATTATTGATTAGAATTACAGCCCAGAGGAAAGAAAAGCTGCAGGCAGGTGGAAGCTGCTTTGTATGTCTTGACAAACATTGCAACTGTCCGTATGCCGGAGGTCTAATCTCTTATCCCATCTACTCACATGAAACAGCCATACAAAAGTGCAAGGCTAGAGCTCTATTTAAAACAAAAGAATAAGCTACTAAGAAACAAACATTTAATGAGTTTGAGCTCAGGCAGTTTATGTCTCGTTCAAAGGGAAAGGTGAGCTTATGCTATAAATCTTCCGGAAGGAATGGGAAAATCTCCCGCACCGTGCCTGCGTGTTTCAGAAAAGCAGGTCATCATCCAACTCACTATTATCTTTGGCTCATATCACTTCACTCTTTCTACCACCAATAACTTCATGTGCTGACAGCCCGGCAGCGCTAGGCAGGGACCCCATGGTGTTCTCCCTGCCTGGGGGAATGAATGCCCATCCTCCTGACGGATGGAGGAAATGCTCCCTCCGGGTCCCAACCCAGCCTGCAGGCTCGTTGAGATTAGGAAGTGAAGCAGTACCTACATTTCATCCTCTGAGCCAACAGACCTGGGAGCTTTTCGGGACTCCAGCAACAAGCGCTCCCTAAGGCACAGAGCATTTTTGGAGGTGCCTGAGGATATGAGAGCCCCAGTAAAGCCAACCCTATTGCTGTACAAATATTTTGAAACCCTGAGGTTTTAGAGCTTATAAAATGTTGTGGCTGCTGACAGAGAAGTATCGGATTTGGGTTTTAGGGACTGGAAAACTGGTGACACCGAGTCGAGAGAGATCTCTGCTTCTTCCAGCAGGGAATGGCCCTGCCATGTGCAGATATGGTTGCTATACAGCAATAATGTTCTCTCCCTTAATCACACTCTTTGCCTCCAACCTTAGTCCAACAAGCCATTGGGTGGAAGGCTGTGAAAAATGGCTTTCTGAGCTTCCTTGAATATCACATATTTTAGGAGAAGGCTGTCTACTTCAGCTGCCCCCATTCAAAGCAGAGGAGGCCTGATTTACGATTTACGAGGACAGCAGGGCTGGAATGGGGCTATTCCCTCTTCATCTCACACTAACTACCCTTTTGGGGTATGTTTTAGTGAAATTAATGTAGCTAACATAGGGCTGCTCACTTCCAGAGCAATACTAGGAACAGGGTACAGCTTTACCAATGTTCTTAGATATCTATTTTCTCCCATGATTAGAATGATGTGCATTACAGAATAAAAATCTTTCCAGACAGACAGTTGTAATGGCCAGCGAGGACATATTAAGTGGATGAAATACGTAGAGGGCAGAGATGGTTTGGAAGGGAGAAATGGCCATAAGAACAACGCAGAGCTGAAGAGAGGAACGGTGGCTGAAATTGTTTTTGTCTTTCCTGGTGCATTGTGTGATGTCCTCATAAGGGTGAGCAAATGCTGCTGTGCCGTACTGCCACGTATCACCTCTGTTTCAGAGTCAACCCTTTGGGCAGAAAGAGGGCTAACTCTTCTCTGGTTTTCCAGCGCTCACCTTGAAGAGCTAAACTGACTTTTCCCTTTCCCTGCTCCACGTTAAAGTCAACAGCGAGTGCCACGGTTAAGACACATCAGCCTTGTGCCTGTGTCAGTCCGAAGCTCCTCGTACAGAGATTATGATACATGTTAGGAAATACCAGGAGTGCCTCCAGTTTTGTGGAGACTGGAGGTTGAGGGAGTTTGGAAGCATTTCTAACCTGTATCCTTTGACCTGCTGCTAGTCTGGAGGCAGAAAAGCCAACCCACACTTTCAGGGGCTGAGCTGCTGATAAGCTCCGGCTCTGACGCTGGCCACCTTCTGGCCCTAAGGCAAATCATGCCTGCTTTATCCGTGTCGTTCACCCACCCCCCACCCCCCGCATGAAACAGGACATAATACATCCTACAAGTGGGAGAAACGAGATTATCCCAGATTTACAGGTTTCTAGGCTGGTGGGAACATGTCCATCACCTACTCTTGCCTGCACAACACCTGCACACCTGGAGACTTTCACCTGCTAATTTATCTATAATCTGTACTTAAGGTACAACACATCTCATAGGAAAGCGCTTCTTTTAAGGGCATGGAGTGACCGGATACCCATCCCATTCCCACAAAGTTTGTTTCAATGCTTAATTTCCATTGTGGGAACATGTTTACATTCCCCTTTTTGTCTAAATACCTCCAGCTTCAACCTCCACGTCCTCAATCTTTGCCTTTTTTATTAAAAGCTTCCACGATGCTATCAGAAATGTCCCCTATACATGGGGGCTTCACCCTCTTCTTGGACTACATGATGACGCAAGTGGAGTTAAGTTGCGTTTCTCAGCTCTCAAAATCATTCACATGGCTCTTTTGTAAGCTTCCAATGTTTTTTTTTAAACATAAACCACCAGGATTACACACCACATTCAATACTGGCCTCATAAATGCAGTGTAATGAGATCATACCAACTCCCCACAGTTTTCTGACAGTCTTATATCTTTTCTTTCAACTCAGTTAAATATTTTACCAATCCCATATAGCTGCAGACCCCCTTCCCCCACTCTCCAGCTCCCACCTAAAACATGGTGTGTACAGACCGGAACGTTGCAAGCACTTGCAACTTAGGAGGTAAGTCAGGAAATATTCAGACAGAAGGATGTTAATTTACTTCTCCCTGTGCCTGCAGATCACAATGTAAACTACATTTCTACAGAAACTTTGCCTCAATGACTAAAATAGTGTTTTTTCCATATTTCTTTCCATCTCCCTCATTTACTGTGGCCATCTAGAGTAGTATAGCCTTAGCTGTGATAGAGGTTTGGTTACTGACCACGGCTGCTTACAGCTGGAGGCAGGATGCTCTTCGCCAGCTCAGCCTGAGCTCACACCTGGGGATTAGACTCAGGGTTTGGGTTCTCTCTCGCTTCAAACCGGGAAGCAAACGTTCCTATGTTCTGTGATGAAGAAAGCGGGTGAGATAATTTTGGAAAGCATCCCAGTGCACAAAATGTGAGCTAAGTGGGGTTAGGTCCAAGGCAATTCTTCATATATTCTTTGAGTTCTGCTGATGCCTGCATTCGGAGGCTCAGCCTTCCTCTCGTGTTTTCCCATGTCAGCAGAACTGACGGAATTAATTGACTTCTGCCCGTCTGATTTGCAAGTTTCTGTTCTTCCACGTTTTATCGCGTCATTCTGTAATTACAGAGATGTAAGTACTGGGAGCCCAAGGACTGGGATGGTGGGTATTCAAACGAGTTCCCATTGTGTCTTGGTCTGCACTGCAGAGACGGGCACCAACACCCGTACAAACACCCGTGCACAAAAATGTTCAAGGCTGCCTGAAGGACATCACAAAAACAACTCGAACTGTGACACGCAGAAAACACTGATATCAGTGTTATATATGACTTTGCTTTTCTGGGAACGCAATGATACAGAACCCTTCATTTTTGCAGCCCTAGGATGGCTTTAGCAACATTACCCCTGTTATTCACACCACAGAACCGAGGTAGCAAAAGGTGACGTGATTTCCCCAGGTTGGCGCAGCAGGCACGGCTCACGCGTTCCTGTTCAAAGCATTACTTTTCTGGCTAGAATTTTACGGGATTAGGACTCAGAGACACATGCATCTTTAAAGAAATAGGTACTGTAAGGACAGGGAGGCTAAATCCCATCTTTTATTTCAACAGGCAAGCTCCTGAGGCCCAGATCTTCAGGCCAGTGCCATCGCCACTGGGCTGTGCCATCAGCGTGGCTGGCGGGACCCGCGAGACCACCTACGGGCA